CAACATGGTTGACCTTTTCACCAAGTCTTTGCCAAAGGCAACATTTCAGAAACTTGTTCAAGGATTTGGTACGTGTAAATTTGATGAGTTGTAACATTGGTAGTTCTCTATGGAATTATGTCAAACTCAGTGGAAGTATCCCGAAGCATACTCGCTTGATCTTAACATACTTTTTTCCCCTACAATTAGGAGCATTTTCTCTTTGGATTTTTGCTACTTAACGAGGCACCCATCATGGGTTGGTCATACCTTTGTGTACGTCCTATAGATGTTTTAATTTGGCTTTGTACTTTATCACGCACTTTTCCTTAAACTATGGGTTTTCGTCCCGTCTCGGATTTTACCATAGCCCTTGGATTTTTGTGAGACTTATTTCCATATGCAAGTTCCTTTATCTAAGACTAGCATGTTCCCAGATTAGTGTCGCCTACGAGTTGACTTCCTCAACTCTACTTGATGACGAATCTACTTAAGTATTTACGCATTCAATGGGGAGTGTTATAGATAATATATTAAAGTGTGATTGTATACATCTTAGATAGATTTAGTTACTAATTGTTCTTTTCCTATAAGATTGTATTTACTTGGAGGACAAGTAATTCCTCTCCTCTTTACTACTATAAATAAAGGTATGTGTAGAGGTAATAACAACACCCCTCTATTCTTTGTCAGTCAAATAGGCCACAACAAAATAGTCATTTTATACAAGTTATTTAACATTAAATATTAAATGGGGCGTATTTAACAATTAGTGAAGTGCTAATACAAAAATCCTATTATTAATTCCAAAAAAATGAGAGATAATTATTAAGTTATATCCTGTCGTCCCACCCTCCCCGACAATATATAAACTTACCCATTTATTTGTACCAAGAAAATGTCAGCACACATATGAAAGTAGGTTCCTAATTAATGTGTTAATGTTTTGGATTTGTTTAAATTTTTGCAACGCTCATCAATGAAGGATTTAAAAAAAAAAAAAAAAGTGATGAAATGAGAATCACAATTTCAAAATAGCCCCCAATCCTAACTCAAACTTAAATTATGGGTTGTGCTATCCACACATCCATTTTTACTTTATACACATCATCTTAATTTGCAACTGTCGGATCGACTGTGATTTGATGGGTTTGAATAGTCCAAACTGTTTTTTGTCCACGCTAATTCCGTTTTAAAAGTTCATATAATAAACCACAGAAGTAGTTTAGTAACAAGCTTACACAACTACTAATCTCTTATGCAGCCATCATTAAATTTTGGCCATTCATATTGAAGCCATCAATATTTATTATTGTCAATATTTGTTCTAATTACTGAAAATATGACTTTAGCCCCTGAAACTCAAGTTTCTTTACATAAAACCCGACATAGTCTTTTTACCTGAATAAAACCCAATGACTAGGCTCCACATAAGCAAATTCATTAATTCTATTTGCCTTTACACATTTTGCATTTTTAGATGCCTAAAACACCCCTAAATACAGTTTTAATGTATACATTAAATTCTATGCATATTTGAAGGGAGGGATTAATGAAAAAAAATGCATTAATGTTTAAAATCATTGCATATTAATATATCATAACAAATTGTATGTTAATGCTCCTGGGAAAAAAAAAAACACTAATGTTATACTTTCCTTAAGATTTCGTAATCGTTTTTCAAATTTTCGTAAAATTTGACAATTTTAATTTAATCTTTTCATTTTCTTATCCAAATGAAAATCTGAAAGGGCACTATAAAATTTGTCCAATAATAATACATGCAAAATAATTTACTTATAAAGTTAAAGAAATGTTATTTGATTCAACAGAAATTTATCTATATTTTATATAATAATATAGGTGAATCATTGCACAAATATATATTAGGTGTCACAGCCCGTCCCAATATTTCTTAATACGGACATGAAATGACGAAAGTGCCCTTGACGGTCACTAAGGTACGTGTGTGTGATATGTTTGAACATTTCATGGTTCCTAAGTTTTGGAAAATTAATTAAATTGGATTAAAGGTTGATTTAAAATTTGGTATGTATTTTTGTGTGGTTAAGGAATTAAAGGACTTGGAATTTTGGTGGGTTTTGTTGGACCGTACAACACATGGGACACCTCAACCCTTTCCTTCCCTCTTTCCCGTATGCTCTCTCTCTCCTCCCTCACGACTCTCTGTCTCTCTCTCTCACTCTCTACTTGTACGGACACACTCACCACCAAGCCTACAAGCACGGATCGAAGGTTGTGAAGGTACCATCGTGCTCGTGAGGACTATACGAACTCAACCACACCCATTTCAGGTAAGAAATCTTTCGATTTCACGTCGAAATCCCAAGCACCGATTTTGGCACTGTTCATGAACTTTATGTTGGTTGATTTTTAGGACAATCCAAGCTTGTAGTGAGCTTAGTGAGGTCCTAAGGAAGCTCGGGGACGTTCGTTTGGAAGTTTTGGACGTCGGGATCACCACGTTCAAAGTTGGCCGGTTCTTGTGGAATTTTTCCAGTGAGATTTTGTAGTTTTTAGAGCTTTAAAGTAGTATAGCATGAAACTACATGTTTAGGGCTTCAAATTGATATAAAATACGAAGAAAATGGTTGAGAAATGAAGGAGAACAAGGCGTTTGAAAAATGCCCAGAATCCGGCCACTGGAAAAACCAGTCCGACGAGCTCGCGATGAAGAAGACGCGCGTGGGCGCGCGTGTGCCCGTGCATGTCCTGGCGCGTGGGGGCGCTTGCCACATCAAAAAATTATTCTAAAAATATGTCGACGTCCGTGACGTCGAGTAGGTCACTGTGGTATATTCATATACCCAAATTGAGCACCGTATGAGAAGTTATTACGAATTATTGGTTATATGCTTTAAAATAACATTTTTATAGTTATTTCGCATATAGGTGATACCTATCCCGAGGACGAGCGCATCCAGGGACGTCACGGGGGTTACGACCCTTCGACTTATCAGTGAGTGGGCAGTACTTTCTATTTATACCTATATACTATGAATTTTCCCAGAAATTGAGTTTTTATGAAAGTATGTTTCCAAAATGCCATGCATGCATGATATGAATGATATGAGAAATATGAATTGATAATTGATGCATATATATATGTGAATTGGTGCTGTGGACGCACATGTAAGTCAGGTGAGTTTTATGTTATTCATGTGCATTGTTGATGAATATTATGTTGATAGCTCATAACCTGCAATCATGGTGTTAGTGCTTATATTTTTCACCTCGCACCACACGCTCATCTTGGATCCAAGTAGGTGCATGTCGTACAGACCATGAGAGGGTTCCGACATGTCGTACAGACCATGAGAGGGTTCCGACTGATAGGTGACCTTAGATTGTGTACACAGATGATTGATGAGAGAAGCACTAGAGCGTATTATTACACCATTCATGTCGTACAGACTACTTCAGGTAGTTCCGACTTATCTGCAGTGCAGTGCCATACAGGTCACCGAGGTGACTCCGGTTGGATTGGATGTTGAGCTATAGAATTAACCGAACAGGACCAACTGCAGGGTCTCCGGTTAATTCACCATTTCACCTGTTACATTGATGCATCATTCATGCTGTTTTTGAAAGTTTTAACATGGCATACTTTCGGGTTTTAAAGAAAGATTGATGAAATGAGATTTATGAAAAGTATTATGCTATTATACTATTTTTTGGGAAAGTATACAGGTTTTACAGCGAGGGGTTAGAAATGTTTTAAATGAAAGGTTTTCGAAAAGCTTTGTTTTATTGACCCACTCAATTTTGTTTTACGCCCCTCCAGGTTCTAGTTAGCAGCTGGTGGCTCACGAGGCTTTCTTCGGCGTTCTGACAGACTTCCTGCATGTAGGACTCACCTGCGGGTGTTGTACTTTAATTATAGTCCTACTTGACTGCACCTAGTTCTTAGGCTCTGTTTATGTGTGTGCTCACACTTTAACTCACTCTAGCATGCTTATTTGGTTTTTCTGGCTAGTAGTTGGTTTTTATTCTTTCGTAATTCTCTTATCTTTGCTTCCGTACCTCACTTATGGTTACGTCACACTCACGTGACGGCCAGCACGCCTTGATTCTAGGATCGGGGTGTGTCATTAGGAATAAAATGTGCCCAATATATATATATATATATATATATATAAAATAATGCATGCAAATAATTCACCTACAAATAAAGGAAATTTGGTTAAAAATAATATATCTACTACTTTCAATTTTTTTTTTTTTTACAAACATAATGTACCTACAATATAATTTACCTGTTGTTTAATCAAATAAAAAAAATAATGTATCTACTGTTTCATTTTAATGGCGATAATTTGTCTTGGTTTAGTTTTTATGAAATAATTTAGGCACTATTTAACTTGACCAAAATAATGTAACTACAACTTTAATTTACGTACAAAATAAATGCTGTTTGATTCAAAATTAATTTATTTATATTTTACATATAAATATAGATAAATTATTTTTAACACGCATATATAATAACAAATAAAAAATGTCTAATGTATGTAATAATCTATGTAAAATAATTTACCTACAACATAAAGAATATTAATTGGTTTGTTTTTTTATCAAACAATATTATTTGATGGAAAATAACTGATTATACAAAGGATTTTCTTTTTTCATACGAAAAATGTGCCCATAATTGTTTATGAATATGGATAAATTAGTATATATATATACATGTTACTAATATTTATGATACAAGAAAGGAAAATTTTCCATATGGGGTTAATTGCTAATCATAATTAGGGTGAGTAAAAATATTTATTGACATAATTAGGGTTTTGTGGCATAAGTTGTAAATATGTTGTAATAATTGGTTACATATTTGTCTACATGGTAGTCTATTTGAATTTTAGGTTTTATTTGAATATTTACTATTAGGTGGATTTTTGTTTGAAAAATAGGAATTTCAAGGGCCTTTCTCTAAAGAACCCTTCTGATTACATAGAGAGGGGCTCCAAGCCTCCGACCATAGTATAATATCTTTATTATATTCCAGGCCAGAATGGCACACCACCAGTGACTGGAATCCAATTCTGTCCTTGAATGAAATTACCAACTGTGAAAGGACTAACTTGCTGAGGACCAAATGAAAACCAGGCCACTTAACCCTCTTCTCTGTTGCTGCACCTGGCCCTGTATTCATATACTCCCCATAAAACAACGTTGAAAGTCCATAACTGCCCCTCCATTCTGTCCACCTCTTTGGATCAATCAAACCATCCAAGTCTGTCTTCAAGAACACAGTCCTTGAATACTTTCTCCATGGCCTGCCCAAATAGTTCCTAAACGAACCCTTAACGCCTGCGAATTCCGGTGCAGGTCTAACGCGACAACCGTGGATTGCAATGCCTGAGTTCTCTTCCGGGTTGTCGCGACCTTGCGCGGTGATCATGTTAGCTTGGGACTTCATTGGCCTCCTCACGAAAATGTCACAATTTTGCATCACCATATAGGCGTCACCAAATATGAAATCGATGGTGCCATATACTTGACAGTCGCGGTAGAATTGTCGATTGGAGTGGGCATAGACAGTGTCTTGGTACGCTTTGAAGCTGCACCGGTAAAACACCGCGAGGTCTGAGCTCACCCTCAGTGCCACTGCCTGGTGATTTTTGAGGACCTGCTGTGTTCTCAAATGTTATGTCCCTTGCCCAAAAACCATCCCCTGATACACCTGTGAATGGCAAAAAAAAGTTGTCCAAGTGATATATTCATAGCCAATGTAAGTATTTGAACAATGACTATGATCAGTGACTATGAATATTTACGGTGAATGCTCTAACCAAATGATCGAAACTCGTAACTTGTTTATTCATTTAGGTTTTGACCTTGATCAACATTAACGTTATAATCCATGGTCACTAACTACTGGACCATAAATCTAATGTCAAAAAATGAGTTTCAAGTCTAATAACCAAGACTTTGATCACTATAAATCTTGGCCAAGTGATTAGACCTCTAGACTTACCAACCGTAGCTGAGCTCCGAGTGGAGTCATCTCCGACGACACTGTGGCTACCGGTGATTATAGTTTTGTCAATGCCATCACCAACAAGCATCACATTCTTTACATCTCTATGAATCTCCACCTTCTCTGCGTACATGCCGGATTTCACATAGATTATGATTCTTTGGGTTCGCCGGTGACCCATTCTAGCAAGTGCAATCAGTGCCTCATTCACTGTTCTATTTGTGCCAGAGCCATCTTTTGCCACCAGAAAATCAGCCCTGGATGTTCTTGGATTCCATGATGCCAAAAGCCCTCCGTCTTGCATGGGATTGGATTTTTCTCCCCTTGGTATTACTCCTGGAGCATGATAATTATAAGAAAAACAAAGTTATATCAGCCAAAGTTGCTCTGCAATAGCTTTGTCGCCCGAAGTAAGCCCTAATCATATGTTTCATTACATATAATTTCCCGTTTAATTAACTTCGATCAATCATTAGAAACACAATGTCTCGTTGGATTATGAACATACACATGCAGTATTAACATGTGATACAAATGAGTAATGTTAGGGAGACTACACTTTTAAAGGGAAATTTTGATAACTAGTCATTTTTTGTACCACAAAATGAATTTTAGTCTACCTTTTACATTTCTGACAAGTTTAACCATGTCCCTGTGAAATTTCAAAAATATCCTTAAATTAAAACACTAACACTATGTTTGGATAAGGGTAGGGATGAGCAACGGTTATGGCGGGTGGGTAACCGCGTTTATTTACCCATAACAGTTTATGCTCATACCCGCATAACCGTTTACCCGTTGGGTAATTGCCTAAACGGTTATACCCATACCCATAACCGTTTATAAACGGTTAACCATACCCATTTAACCGTAACCGTTTAATACCCGTTTACCCATTTACCCTTTTTAACCCGTTTATCTTTTTTTTTTTTTTACCATTTCCACTATTCACCCGTCTACATTTTTTTTAACAACTTGAAAATTAAAAAAAAAAATTGTTTTCTTTTTGACAATTAAACACCGTTATAGGTACATTCATCATACATTTCCGTATTTTAATTTTTTAAGTCCTTATACCTTTCCAATAATTGAAATAATAATTTACGGACGATATTTCATGTAAAACCGTGATGGCTATGTCTCGGCGTATGAGCATATATATGTTACAGACCATAATCAATATGCACTTGTAATTAGCATAGTGTAAAAAATAAAACGATGCATGTTAGCGAGGGCCAAACAATGTGTGGCTTGCCAAAAAGGTTTATGCTTTGTAGGCTTGTATTAAAAATTGGAGTAATAGAAATATAAGTTATTGAGCACATCATATAGGTTTTATGCTACACAAATCATGCACTATAGTCAATAGCATTGATCTAAGTTTTGTTGGATAGTGAACATGGTTTGTGTTAATTTTACATATATAAAATAAATGGGTAAACGGTTACCCGTTTATAACCGTGGTTAATACCCATAACCGCCCATTTAAATTTCGCGGGTAAACGGTTATACCCATAACCGTTTATTTATCTAAACGGTTACCCATAACCATAACCGTTTAATTTAAATGGATGGGTAACCGCAGTTACCCAAACCAATGGGTATTTGCCCATCCCTAGATAAGGGAAATAAACTTGGAATTTAGGTAAAAGTCAAAATTTATAAATTGACATACATCAATTCCCTTGTTTGGAGTCATAAACATAGAAATTTAGAATTTCCGCGTAGAAACAAAACTTGGAATTTGGGACCTTCAATTCCCAAGTTTAAATTCCATGTAAATATGTGTCATTTCCTAATTTCTATGATTGAGAGTTTAAAATTAACAAATTTTGTATTGAATTCCATTGTTCTTTTAGATTAACCAAACAACAAAAATTCACAAATTCTAAAAAATAAAATCCCATCTTCTGTCATTTTAAAATTTCTTAGTAATTTTAAACTTCTTCGTCCAAACATGGTGTAATTCCCTCTCTCACTCATCCCTTCCCTTTCCTTTTCTTATGCTACAGAGAGCCAATGGCCTATCCACATACCCCCCATCGTCACCCACTCATTTTGTACTTGTTCATTCGAAAACAAAAGTAGCATTACCAAATCAATATCAATGATGTCGTGAATTCTAGTATCGAAAGCAAGCTTAAGATTCATCCCGACACTATCTGTGCAAACATTATGTGGTTATGGTCGTTGGCGGCCACCTTGGGTACAAATGAACTCCATAGATTTTATCCAACTCACCACCACCGTTGGTTGTGTACCTACCTCCTGCCATGGATCCATCAATTAAGTACAAAAATTATGTATAAATATGTGTGTATATATAGGTGAGACAAATATGCAATTCAGGGACGTACTGGAGGATTGAGTTTGAGGGACTTTGGTTATCTGGAATTCAAATCGAAATTGCTCAAAGAATTCGTAATCGAAACGATAGCTCTTCCTTTTTTCAACAAAATTAAAATAAAAAATCAAAATAAAAATAAAAATCATAATCTAAATTCAAGCTTCCCAACATTCCGATTTGGATGAAGAGATAGCAAGCTGTGGTATTAAAACATTTGGAAAAATAACCCAGTTAAACAAATGAGCAAGTTTTTAGTCATTAAGGGTATTTTAGTACTTTTATATCAAATTTTAGTTACAATTATTATAAATTTAAAAGGATGGTTATAATTTTATAAGGATTCTAAATTCTGGTTATTTTTCCAAATTTTCCATTTTTAAACTATATTGGTGTACAACCAACATCTAATCAAATAAATTTATTAATTAATGTGATATGTACATATAACTTGTCACGTCAGATAGTATATTAATATGGTACAAAAATGTGATCCTTCTAGCATTTCTCGATACATAATAGTTCCTCCTCACGTAGCTCATTAAAAATATATACATAATTAACAATGGTTTAGAAAATCATAATTAATAGTTCTATTCAATCAACAAACAAAGAACAAAATTTTAAATTTTCCTTCAAAAATAAAATGATAATACTTGGGTACTGACTAATCAGTACCCAAAAAACTGACCGTATGAAATGGCCCAATAAGATCAAAACACCTGTTACAATTTTAATTTTATAAACAAGTAACCAAACACCATATTAACCCCACATCCAAACACCTCCTTTCTTCCTCAACGCTTCCCCTTCTAGCCTCGCTCCTCTTTGCTTCTGCCGTGGTTTCATCGCCAGAAACCTCGTCTTCCCAACGCCTTCCGAGAACTTCGTCTCCTCCGTCGGCACAACTCACTTTTCCTCCATCCTTTTACTGTCGATTCCTCCCCAAAATCCTCTTATTCTTTATCGTGGCACACATGTCAGCACTCGGCCGTCATCGTCGTCGAAATCTCCGTCGTGGAATCTATGGCATTACCGAACACCAACTTTCTCGAAATTTCACAGAATAATTTCAACCTCCTTCATAATTTTTCTCCTTGGTGAAATATCCTTAATAGGGTTAGCAAGATGGATATGATCTATCATGGGTTTGGAGAAATTTGAGAGGGTGAAGCTGTCATGGCTTCGGGAGAAAGGAGAGGGAGGTGATGGTGGAGGTATGGCAGCTGTGTTTTTGGTGGGAGAGAAGATGGTTGTTTGGATACAAGTAAAAGAAAATAAATAGTGTGTTTGGTTAGAAGGGTAGTAGGAGTTTGTGAAGAGTTTCATTTGACGGAAGTGTTTTAAATTTAGTGGTTTACATAAGATGGTCAGTAATTTGGGTACTCCCCAGTGAGCAACCAAGTATTGCCCAAAATAAAATGGGTTCTTTCTTATGGATTTGGATTCTCGCCGGATCCCCTTCCTGAGGATCCTAGGGATCAACGCACGTGGATTGTTGATAAAAAAATCGTGCAGTTACAATTTTTTCATTTTTTATATTTTTTACCCAAAACGAGGCTACTTTACTTTTAAAAATATAAAAAGTATTTAATTGGGGCCGCACGATTTTTTATCAATAGTCCATGTGCGTTAATCCCTAGGATCCCCAGGGAGGGGATCCGGCGAGGATCCAAATCCCTTTCTTATTATGACGAAATAAGGTAATGGAAGCTTAATTTATGCTAACATAAGAGCATTTCCACCGGAGGTGGAATAGCCCAGCACCCAATCAAAAAACCAGGTTGAGACTCTGTCAATCCACTCTAGCCCACAAACTTACTTGGTACTCAGCCCGTGCCAGTCTCCAGAGCAACCCATTTTTGACTGACCTTGGGATCGACCCATCTGACGCCAACGTGACATCAGCCACCTTTTTTTTTTCCACACCAGGTTGCCCGACTCCAGATCTCACAAAATGCACGGAAAAGCCGCCTTTGCCCTCATCTTCGCCTTCCTCCTCCTCCTCGCCTACTCAATCTTCATCGGCATCGTCGACATCTGATCCTACTTCCTCCCGTTCCTCAACTCATCGCCGCCGCCGGTTGTCCGGTCCCTTTGCACCACCACCTCCCCGCCTCTCAAGGTCTACATGTACGATCTCTCGCGCTACTTCAACGTCGGAATTATGAACCGCTGGAGCACCGACTAGATTCCTATCACTGCCCAGACTTGGCCTTCGTGGCCAAAGAACTTCGAGCTCAAGAAGGCAGCATAGTATTGAGTATTGGATGATGGACTCCCTTTTGTTCGACGGTAATGGCAGTGATGGGAATGAGAAAATAAAAATATTATTTTATTTTTTATAAATTCAGAAATTAAAAATAAAATTATTAATTTTTATTATTTTATAATAAAAAATAATAATATTTTAATAAAATGGACTAGGTTTTTTTTAGGGGTGGAGATGTTTTGGTCTATTACTGTTCACTTGAGTGGATAAATGAGCTGGGTGCTGGCGCAAAGTCTTTAGGGGTGGAATTGCTCTAATGGTATGATATATGATTGTTAACATGTAGATGGTGAGTTTTGGATTCAAATGAGGACACCTTTGTAACATCCGCTTCACATTAGATTTTAATCATATATATTTTTTTATATTTATGGTTTGAATTCATTACATTTCATTAGTTTAGAGAATTTGTATTTTTGAATTGAGGACACATGGGTAGAAAACAAACACTCGATTCTCTATGATATTGGCGTATATTTTAACGATATAAAGTTACAAACTATCTATCTTTTAAGTTTTTCTTCAAATATCATCTCTACAAAAATACCACTCAAATCGATACTGACTTAAATCGAAAGTTATATGCTCTTTGGATCAAATGGTGATCATTTTAGAGTATATTGTTTTGTTTTTCACTATAATAAAATATTTAAATAGTTTTATATTTGTCTAGTTTTTTTTTTTCAAATAATCTATTAATTATGATCCAAATTGGAAAATTTGGAAAAATAACCAAAATTTTGAACACCAATAGAATTATAGCCACTATTTTAAATTTATAATAATTATAATCAAAAGTTGATATGAAAATACTAATATACCCTCGTTTATAATGTGATTTTCCAATAAAAAACTAAAAAGCAAGTTGTTGATGATGTTCCCGCATCTCCGATTGCCTCCTATCCATCCCTTCCTCCCTAGTCAGTCGTCACCCCGCACCTACCTTGCCATGATTGTTGATTGGTATATCAGTTTTCATTTTCATAACTAATTTTAATTTTAATTGCTTAGGTCCTCTGGACCCAATGCCTCAAGGAAAGAATGGAGATGATGCCGGTTGGGTCTGACTTCAACAACTCCGATGACGTCTGAAATCAATTCCGTTGATGGAATCTAAGACCATTGTTGCACTCAACCTCAACTCCAAACCAGGGCCGGCCCAGGCCCAGTGCAGGCAGGGCGACCGTCCAGGGCCCAAAAAAATTAGGGGCACCAAAATTATTAGGGTGGTATATTTATATATGTTTTTATAAGAGTATAAATTTATAAAATTTGGTTCAAAGACACAGGAATTTAACTAGAAGGGGTGGTTTGTCATTTGAAAATAATGAGGAGGTCTTGGATTCAAAACTTCATGTGTGCTTATTTACTTTCCATTTTTTACAAATTTCTTTTTATAAGAGTATAAATTTATAAAAGTTGGTTAAAGGATCAAGAAGTTTAATTAGAAACAATGATTTTTGCTGTTTAAAATTAACAAGATGTCCTAAGTTCGAAATGCTATGTGTATGTTTATTTTTTTCAATTTTTACAAATTTTTGTTTGGTTGTTAATTAGTTTTAGTTACTATCTAGTAGCTATATGAGTTGTTATTTTTAAATATTCGTTTTAATTCAAGTCTAATCTTCAACAAAGAATAATACGTAGACCAAATTTGCAAATTATATGACGTGTCATAAAAATGTTTAATTTAGTGCCCATTTATTAATAATACATATCAATTAAAGACTCGAAAACATCATTATTTTTTAGTCCCATATTGACAAGGTTAGTAATAAGAAAAAACATCTCACGATTTATTCAAAAACACATTCAAAGTTCAGATGGAAAACAAAATTCATCATCTATCTACTTGTAAGCCCGAAGTTTTTTTGTTTTTCTCTCTCAATACAAAATAAATTAGTTTTTCTGTGTTTCTAAATTACTGAGTTTGAAGTGTTTTTCTAATTATAATTTTTTCGATGTCTAATGTGTGAAAATAAATAATTTTCTTACATGAAATTAGGGCACTTTTTTTTTATGTCGCCCCGGGCCTCAAAAATCTCTGGACCGGCCCTGCTCCAAACCATGGCGTTCAAAGTGAGAACTACCAATACACTCCCAACCATGCCTTTGCGAATCTACATTCAAACCCCAGGACACCCATTTTTCTATGATCTGGAGGCAATCTTAATACAACAGTAGCCATTTAAGGGTATACTAGTATTTTTATATCAATTTTTTGTTATAATTATGATAAACTTAAAAGTGTGGCTATAATTCTATATTAGATAAAAAAAATTTGTTATTTTTTTAAATATCCCGTGTAAAATAAGTATGATTTCAATCGTTAAAATAAAATACTTAATGGGCCCATAATGAGTTCATCAAATAAAATCCGTCAATTGAAATGAACTATATACACACACACACATTTATTATCTATTAGTTTGCGAAAACCTTTAAAGCATGATATGGACATGATAATGATGTGGCAAGTGTTGGATAGAGATCACGTTGTGTAATATGTAGGATGAAGTGCCGATTTAGTCACTGAACTATCACCTCAGTGAAAATTAGGTCATTGAATTGTTTTTTTCGGTAAAATAAGTCCATAAATTCATTAAAAATTGCTAATTTCATCCATACTATTATATTCAAAACTATTTTATCCAATTTTTCTTTAACTTAAGTCACTTCACACACTTTAGAATGTAATATCATCATTTTCTCGCCTATAAGCCATTCACATTTTATATAGGTTGCGAATCTAACATCCAATTTACCCTCCAAAGTTAACTTACACTTTTTTATTTATGAAAAACTACCAATTTACTCTCCAAAATTAGCACCATATACTATTTCTTTATGAAAAACTACCAATCTACCCTCCAATGTGTATCACATACAAGTAACACGACTTAAATTGATGGAAAATTGAATATAGTAGCTTCGAATATAATATTAGGGATGTAATTGGCAAATTTTTATAATTCAAGGACTAATTTTTCTGAAAAAAATAGTTTAGGGACTTAATTTTCACTAAGATGATAATTCAGGAACTAAATTGACCGTTTACCCTAATATGTATAAATTGAAACCTCATGCTCATCTCTTCTTGTGAATATTTTTCAAATTTGTAGTGTAAAACACAATTAACCGAAAAAGTAAATGCACATGTTATAATTTAGTTGAAATATTAACATCACAATGACATGATGACTAATGATTTATAAATCATGATATATAATCATAGCTTTTGTGAATAAGTTTCCAAAACACATTATGCAATATGGATGGAAACTCTAAAGGAAACTCTAAAGGCTCAGGAGTCCCACTTAATGGTTCGTATTGTGCCCCAGAATCCAAGGGGATGTCCCTGCTCTTATACTACAATCTTATTGTTTGCTCTAAACAAGAAAAAAATAACCATCACCCGCATAATTAAGAAGAGTAAATACAATAAAATTGCATAAATATGCAACAAGAAGTATTTAATTTAAAGCAAGATTTGCCATAAATAGATATCTTCCACTTACTCTTTCCCTCATTCATAACCTTCCCATAAAAAGCAAGAGCTTCGCCAAGCACCATGGTCAAGTTTTGTGCCACCACACGCTGATGCTCAGTCCTAACAAAACCCTTCTCATCCAAGCCATCCAAACAACTCCTATGGTTGGCAAGCACCCCACTCAGCCATGTTCGTGCGTCGTTGCCGGTATAACTCTCATTTTTGGACAACAGCACCGTCAGCCTGGCCGCACTCTCATCGTATAGTTCGGTGCAGTCTCTAAGAGCCACACCACTGTAATTTGAAATATCATCACTGCCGACCAGTTCATGTAATTGAATAGAGTTTTGGACGACCAAAGTTGTGGCTTGAAGAACTCTATCTAGGGCAAGCTGAATAGGGGTTGATTGTTGGAGGCAGGAGGTGGTGGAGACAGAGATGGTCACTAGGAGGAGGAAGGTGGTGACAGAAGTGGACATTTTTAAAAAATTGATAGGAAATTGAAGAAATAATGATGAAATGCATGAGGTAAAATGCTGTGCCGATTAATTTATACATGGGTGGGGAAGCAAACACATGGACTATTGTAGTAGACAAGTGTCACTGTGCTGAGGTGGACTTTGAGAAGTGAGCTAGCTATACGGTATTTTGTGATTTATGAAACTAATGAAATTTTTTTGAAAACTTTGAGTTTTAACGATAAAGACAAAATAAAGGGTAAAGTAAATAGTAGCATGGTTAACTTTTTAGTGTAAAAATATGATTTTTCGTTAAAATGAACAGTACCGGAAACTTTTCGTTAAAGTTCCTTCTGTTCAATGGTTTTGAGGTCTCATGGAAGAAGTGGCTACATCTGTAAATAAAGGGTCATACAGAATCCATTTATGTGATTGTCTCTTGATCTCATTCTCAATAAGGAACCTGCTAATTATGGTGAAATTCCGAATTCATTAGTTTATCACGCAATTGCTACATTACAATAAAAAATTAACTTTCATAATTATACAATAAGTGTTGTAGCCTATTTTATCTGACAAGGTTAAAGGGGGCCGGTGGCAAGGGTAGAGAGATTGAGAGATATGTGTTTGCAGAATTGTAGGGGAATGTGTGTGTTATCTCTCCTACATAATGCCCTTATTTATAGTAGTAAAAGGAAAGAATAACTAGAATTAAATCTAATTTAGGATTTACACAATCACACTTAAACTAGGAAAGTTTACAACACTCCCCCTTGAGTGTGTAAATACTCAAGGTAGATTTAACATCATGCAGAAGTTAAGGAAGGCGACTCGTCCGCACTGATTCTGAGGAACAACTCTTATTCTCAATAAGGTAGGAACTTGCATAAGTAAGTGAGTCTCACTAAAAAAACCCTAAGGCTATGGCAAAAACCCGAGTAGTGACAAATTCCATAGTCCAAGGAAAAATGTGTGAGAAATGCAAAGTCAAAAGAAACGTCTACAGGATGTCATCAGGGATATGACCAACCCAAGGTGGGTGCCTCGTTAAAACCTAGTTAGGTAGCAAAAACCCAATGGGAAAATGCTCTTAATCGTAGGGAAAAAGAGTACATTAAGATCAAGCAAATATTCTTCAGGATACTCCCCCCGAGTTTGACACAATTCCAAAGAGAAATAGCAATGTTACAACTAAGAAAGTTTATGCATACCAATTCCATGAACAAGCTTCTGAAACGTCGTCTTCGGAAGTGATTTGGTGAAGAGGTCGGCCAGGTTGTCTTGTGAACGAATTTGGGTGACTTCAATCTTCTGACGCTCTTGTTGTTGATGTGAAAAGAAGAACTTCGGCACAATGTGCTTGGTGTTGTCTCTTTTGATATAACCCTTCTTAAGTTGTTCGATGCATGCTGTGTTTTCTTCAAAGATCGTCGCCGGGACATCAACGGTGGGGTAAAGATCGTAGGAGCTTCGAATATGGCCCACAACTGTTCTCAACTAAAAGCATTCCCGAGTTGCTTCATGCAAGGCAAGAATTTCAACATGGTTAGATGAAGTGGCAACTAAGGTCTGTTTAGTTGACCTCCAACAGATTGCGGTGCCTCCAACGGTAAAGACATAACTCTTTTGAGAAAGCGCCTTATGCGGATTAGACAAGTATTCTATGTTGGCATAACCAACAACGCGAGAATCGACTCAAGAAGTAGAGGGTGCGACATCACTCGAGGATCCGTAGGGATAGAACAAGCCCAACTCCATAGTACCCTTAAGGTAATGGAAGATGTCTTTGATGCTAGTCCAGTGTTTGCGTGTAGATGCATTACTATATCTTGCCAAAAGATTAACAGCGAAGGAGTTGTCGGGTCTAGTGTATTGAGCTAAGTACAATAAAGTGCCTATCACACTTAGATAAGGAACTTCAGGCTCCAAAATCTCTTCATCATCCTCATTCGGACGGAAGAGATCTCGTTTTGCATATAGTGATCGAACAACCATAGGAGTACTTGAAGACTTTGCTTTATCCTCATTAAAGCGATGCAACACCTTTTGGGTGTAGTTCAATTGATGTACTAGGATTCTATTTGAACAATGCTCTTTCTCGAGACCGAGACAGTATCAAGTCTTACCTAGATCTTTCATCTCAAATTCTGACTTCAGGTGTGCGGCAGTTTTCGCGAACTCTTTAGGAGTTCCGATGAGACTTCTTAATGAACACACAAGGGCATAGTTCGTTGTTCACATATCCTTGACTAGTCAAATACTTGAACTAGTCAATGTAAGTTATTCGGGAACTTTCATGTAAATTTTCGTATCAAGATCCCCAAAGAGATCCGTGGTTACTAAGTCCATCAGCTGCATACTTAGTTTTTTGGAAACTACAAAACTGATAAGGTAACAAAAAGTAATCACATCCATAACGGGTGAATAAGTTTTGTCATAGTTAATCTCGGGGCGTTGTGAGAAGCCTTGTGCAACAAGACGAGCTTTGTAACGCACAATTTCATTCTTCTCATTATGCTTCTGAAAGAAAACCCACTTGTAGCCAACAAGCTTCACATATGGAGAAGTAGGAGCTACAGGTCCAAACACCTTACGTTTCGCAAGCGAATCGAGTTCGACTTGGATTGCTTATTTCTAGTTTGACCAATCAGTTCTACGTCAACATTCATCAACGAAACGCGGTTCAACGTCATCGCTCAACATGATCTCAGTAGCTACTGCAAATGCTAATGCATCGTCGACAATCATCTCATTTCTACGCCACACATCATCTAAGCTAGTATAATAGACCAAAATCTCACGATTCTCGGGAGAATGATTCGTCTCTTCAAGGACGCTTCCATAATCTAGAATTTTCTCATGAGTTGGATAGAATGAGTAATTGATAATCAGATTCACGGTAGGTTCTTCGGGACCTTGTGCCATGGATTTCCTCTTCCAGGGGTGTGAATCTTTTGAACCAAAGGGTCTGCCACTCTTTTGTGTAGGGGCAAATGATTGGCTAGTTGCTAATGTACGTGGATCACCAAGATTGGTGCCCCTGGCCTTTAGGAAGGAAGTCTGTCGTACATTTGGTAAATCCATCTTTGCAGGAGTATTCGCAACTGGAATATGTGATCTTGTCATGTGCGCTAGATCAGTGAAAGCATCTGGCATGCTATGGAGATCTAATATACACTGCACTTCAGTTTCAGACTGAGCGGTGTAGGGATCTAAATGAGACAAAGTGGGAGTCGTCCACGATAATTCGCGTCGTTCTTAAGAAAAGTTGACGTTTTTATCTCCCCTAACAACAGGAAGACTGTCTTATAGAAGTGATAATCCACGAAACGAGTGGTAAAGAGATCGCCTGTCAAAGGTTCTAAGTAACGAATAATCAAAGGAGAATCATATTTGACATAGATTCCCATCCTTTGTTGAGGCCCCATTTTTGTACGTAAGGGCAGCGAGATCGGCACATATACCGCACAACCAAAAACGCGCAGATGTGATATGTCGAGTTCGTATCCGGTAACCAACTGAATGGCACTAAATGGTTGTGTCGTAACAGGCCTTAGGTGGACCAACTTTGCTGTGTGCAATATTGCATGGCCCTAAGCAACGATCGGGAGCTTGGTACGTATGACCAACGATCGAGCAATCATTTGTAAACGCTTAATGAAAACCTCTGCCAGGCCATTCTGGGTATGAACATGGGGTACGAGATGTTCAACTTCAACCCCAACCGACATGCAATAGTCATCAAAAGTTTTAGATGTGAATTCTCTAGCATTATCCAATCGAATAGATTTGATCAAATAATCAAGGTGGTGAGCTCTGGGCTTGATAACCTGAGCCAACAGTTTAGAGAATGCAGCGTTCCTTGTGGGCAACAAGTACACGTGTGACCAATGTGTGGACGCATCAACCAAAGCCATAAAGTATATAAATGGTTTACAGGGAGGGTGAATCGGTCCACAAATGTCCCCCTAAATCCGTTGTAGAAAAATGGGATGATTTGAACAAATTTTGTCATAAGAAGGCTTAGTAATAAGCTTTCCCATGTAACATGTTTGACATGCGATTACTTGGATTGAACCTAAGCTTTGGGTTAGTGGATGCCCATGTTTTGATTTGAGGATTCGACGCATCGCTATTCATCCAGGATGTCCCAAACGATCATGCCAAAGTGTAATTTCGTGCGCGGTCCTAGTAGTAGGGTCAGCCACATAGTGGCATTTTATGGGGCGTATGGTCGTAGTATACAGACCACTGGAGATACGCGCAATCTCCTCTAGAATACGCTTTTGGCCATATTCGTAGGAAGTTATGCACATAAATTCAACTCCGTTTTCTACGTGGGTTTTAGCGTGGTAATTGTTATCTTTAATGTCCTTGAAACTTAATAACGTTCTTCTGGAACGTGGAGAATAAAGTGCCTCAACAATGGTCAAGATTGTACCATTGGACAACATTATATGTGCCTTACCGCATCCTTTTATCTGGTTGGATGGGCCTAAGCGGGTTGTCATAGGTGCATTCTTAGGTATGAAGTTAGTGAAATAGATGCGTTCACGCAATACGGTGTGCGTGGTTGCATTATCTGCCAGGCAACTAACTTCCCCATTAGGCATACTTAGAATGAAAAATTAATTTGAATTGGTCACATGCATAAAAGTTCTAAAAACAAATATCAATTCAAAATAATTTCATTTATTTAAGGATGGTAATTAATTAAAGCTTAATATCCAAAAACAAATCAGCAACAAATAATCCAAACATAAATGAAAATTGTTTAAAAATCAACCAAAAAACACCAAAGGGGGGTTCGGCCACTAGGTGGAATTCGGCCCCATTGTGCAATTTTAACTAACTAAAATTGTTTATGTCTAAGATTCGAATCTTCCATAGGGGTGGTATCCTCTTCAAAGTCAGAAACCTCTATCTTTGTAGTCTCCGATTCATCTACTTGCACGAACTTTGATTCAAACTTCTTAGGACGAGAATGATATTTAGCTAGAACCTTCTGGGGAGCTTGGCAA